AATCATTGATCTATTTGCAATTAAATTTATAATTATTCCTCCCGGAAAAAGACATCGATATTTACATAACATTCAATAATTCATGATTTCATTGTCAAAGTACCAAAATAGAATTAAGGTATACTTTCTGCATGGAAGCACAATAAATACATAAAAGTCTTTTTTACATAAGAAAGGATTGGCAACTTTGCTACTATCTGCTGTTAATTTCTATATTTTTTTTAATGATTTGAGCTAGGTTTTAAATAAATGTCAGTGATATATGTAATAATTTGTTCAATTTTTTTGCTGTTGGAGGAAACAGGTTTTGCTTGTCTGTTTTGTGTATTTTATTGCACTAATACAGTATTTCAGTGATATACAAGCAAACCAAATTTGATGAAGTCTTCAATTACAAGTTATGCACTAGCAGACCAGCACGCTCACACAAATATCATGTCCTACATTACTTTAAGTTTGTTGGAGTCTGTACCAGAGCTGCTATGACCTATTTCCACTCAAGTAACATCAAACTTCCACACAAACATCATGTGAAACAATGGTGGGGGAAAAAACATCATGAATTATCATTGTTAACATTATCCATCATTACAGAAATCATGCACCCTGCGCAGCTTCTCTAAGGACAAAAATGTTCCTAATGTTCTCCTAAAGTTCTCCAACCTGATAGAACTGTGCTCTGTAAAGATCATATGGTACATTGTAAGTCGGTTACCAGTACAAACCCTGGTCAGTCTGCAATTCTATACTTCAGTGTTACAATTCAATATCAAAATCCTTAAAATTATCATTGAATGGATTAGAATTAAAAGTATGACAAGTATAATTTATGCAGTGTAAAATGTATCAATTTTAAACCATTTTAAAACATATATACAAATTCTACTTTATGTCAATTTAATATCAAAACTAGAAATGTGTCCATAGGACACGAATGCCCCCACACGCCACTGTTCTGTCAATCTTATGACTCTAGGTCAAATATTTTTTGCACTACATGTGCCACAAGTTGAAAACTAAAAATCAACAAAGGGCCATAATTCTTTTAAATTTGGTCGCAGCAAAAATTCCTTCCTTTAATACCATCTACACATTAATGTTGTTCATCCATGGAAGTTTAAGCAAAATCTGCCATCAGGTTTAAGAGGAGTTGCCTTCACAAAATTTCTACATAGTATATAGTGAAAAAATCAACAAAGGGCCATAATTCTTTTAAATTTGGTCGCAGCAAAAGTTCCTTCCTTTACTACCATCTACACATTAAGGTTGTCCCTGGAAGTTTAAGCAAAATCTGCCATCCGGTTTAAAAGGAGTTGCGTTCACAAAATTTCTATATGGTATATATTGAAAAAATCAACAAAGGGCCATAATTCTTTTAAATTTTGTCGCAGCAAAAATTCCTTCCTTTACTACCATCTACACATTAAGGTTGTTCATCCCTGTAAGTTTAAACAAAATCTGCCATCCGGTTTAAGAGGAGTTGCGTTCACAAAATTTCTACATTGTATATAGTGAAAAAATCAACAAAGGGCCATAATTCTGTTAAATGTGGTCGCAGCAAAAATTCCTTCCTTCACTAACATCTACACATTAAGGTTGTTCATCCCTGTAAGTTTAAACAAAATCTGCGATCCGGTTTAAGAGGAGTTGCGTTCACAAAATTTCTACATAGTATATAGTGAAAAAATCAACAAAGGGCCATAATTCTGTCAAATTTGGTCGCAGCAAAAATTCCTTCCTTTACTTAACCATCTACACATTAAGGTTGTTCATCCCTGTAAATTTAAGCAAAATCTGCCATCCGGTTTAAGAGGAGTTGCGTTCACAAGATTACGGGACGTACAAACAGACAGACGTACGGACGGACAAGTGCAACGCTATATTCTCCCACTTTGTGGGGGCATAACAAGTTTAAGGTATATAATAATATTATACCATTTCTGAATTAATGTCAGGATCACAAAACAGATCAACTCCACTTTTTAGATCAGTAACATGAATAATATTGGGTTATTAAAGCATAAAATGTATTTTTTCTACAAAACAGAAATTATTATAACTACTCCAATCAATCAGTCACAGTTCTACATAATTTACGCATTGATTGTCAATTTAGTTCTTTCTTCTCATATTTCTTTGATTTATCCTGTATTTGGCAGTGATACAAATCAATTTTTATTGTCTATTGTAGAATAAATTTTCCTTACGAATGGTTCGCAAGACGCAAATTTAATACAAATGAAGTTCCAACTTCGTTTCCTAAGAGACATTATTGAAATGGCAATATTTTATGATTATAAATAATTGAGTATCATCCAATGAAAAACAGTAAATATTTTGAAACAAGAAGGCCATGATGGCCCTGAATTCGCTCATCTGTATATAGGCCCCCCGGAGCGGGCCAGTTTAAACCCCAGGGCTTTTATTTGAACAAACTTGGTAGACACCCATTAAAAGATGTTTCATGCAAAACATCTAAGGTCTAGCTCATTGGGTTTTTTAAAAGAAGACTTTTTAAGTTTTTACTATACACATATATTTAAAAAAAAAGACACCCCTGGGGCAGGGCCAGTTTTGACCCCAGGGCTTTTATATGAACAATCTTTGTAGACACTTACTAGAAGATGTTTCATGCTTAATATCTACACTCTAGCTATTCGGGTTTTTTCGAAGGAGATTTTTAAGTTTTTGCTTTACACATATAAGGAAAATCAATGTCCCCCGGGGCGGGGCCAATTTTGACCCCAGGGCTCTTATTTGAACAAACTTGGTAGACATCCATTAGAACATGTTTCATGCTAAATATCTTAGCTCTAGCTCTTTGGGTTCTTTAAAAGAAGATTTTTAAGTTTTTACTATATTCATATAGGGAAAATCAATGACCCCCTGGGGCGGGGCCAATTTTGACCCCAGGGCTCTTTTTTGAACAAACTTGGTAGACATCCATTAAAACATGTTTCATGCTAAATATCTTAGCTCTAGCTCTTTGGGTTCTTTAAAAGAAGATTTTTAAGTTTTTACTATATGTTTATAGGAAAAATTAATGACCCCCTGGGGCGGGGCCAATTTTGACCCCAGGGCTTTTATTTGAACAAACTTGGTAGACACCCATTAGAAGATGTTTCATGCTAAATATCTTAGCTCTAGCTCTTTGGGTTCTTTAAAAGAAGATTTTTTAAGTTTTTACTATTTACATATAGGGAAAATCAATGACCCCCTGGGGCGGGGCCAATTTTGACCCCAGGGAATTTATTTGAACAAACTTGGTAGACACTCACTAGAAGATGTTTCATGCCAAATATCTAAGCTCTAGATCTTCGGATTTTTTAGAAGAAGATATTTAAAGTTTTTTCTTTTGGTTGCCATGGCAACCAGAGTTCTGCATGGAATTAAATTCTTTGAACAATTTTCAAAGGTGACCACCAAAGGAACATTCCTGTGAAGTTGGATGAAATTGGCTTAATGGTTTATGAGGAGATGTCATTTAAAGTAAAAGTTTACGGATGCCGGACGGACGGACGCCGCACGAAAAGCGATCACAAAAGCTCACCCTGTCACAAAGTGACAGGTGAGCTAAAAATTGTCAAGATGAACAAATGTAAATCTAAACTCCTGATCTGAGCAAAATATAGTAAAGTATTGTCTAAAGAATTGTGTTTTCAGGATGGTTAAGAGTTTCTATTCTTATACTTATAAACCTTTGTCAAATTAAATTTGCATAGTAGACTCGTAAAATTGAATTGTTTATGTTTTCCTTTCAAATATCAAAATACGAGAATTGAGCAGCTAACACTTAAAGCTAACACTTTAATGTTCGAGCATGCAGATTGCTATCTTACTAAAGACTGCATAAGTATTAAGAAAATGTTACATGGCAACCCAAATCACCATGTCTAATTATACATGTATTATTACATTAAACTAAATCTTCTCAATCAAATATTTTACAATTTTATTGCAGTTATATTAAAAGTATGATAATATTATTCGCCCTAAATGAGAACGAAATACTTGAGACAGATATGAAACCCCTTAAACCATTATCACTAATGTAAACAGCTGTATACACCCTTGTCCCATTAAAACATGTCGCCCATATAAAGGGGGTAAAAAAGAGAAATAAAATGAGGTCAAAATTGTCTAAAATTAGATACAAAGTAAAGTTTATTTTTATTTTCTTTTTAAAAACATAGCTGTGAATTCGATACCCACTATAGTTCACGGATAGTACAAAAATATCACCTCCATATTACACTGACACAGTCAGACGCTTACAAAAATAATAAAACTATATCACTTATTAAGGTAGTCATCATTAAATTCTTAACAACAGAATTGAAATACAAGAAGAAAGACAATTATGAAATCAAAACATAATAAATAATCCATAAAACTTGTCACCAACCTTAACGAGTGTAGTAGAACATGATATGGAATATGTTTTACTCCCAGCGTTACAACTAATACTTTATTAAAAACACGTCAGAACTGAATGCATCCATGAGGAAGATATTTATAGTGTTTACAAGTGTATTTCCAATGTAAAATGACAAATAACTAACCCAAATGCGTAAAAAAGCACCTTCTATATTTATTTACTATGTCCACAATCACTATATAAAATCCCTAACTTAAAACTAGTTACATGTTCAGTATTTCATGCCACTTAAATCAAATCCGTATCAGAAATTAAAACAAGCTATGTAACATATTAAATCATTCAAACGTTAAAATGTATTATTACTGCAAAAGGCTAGAAGTATCTAAATCACTCAATCCCATCAAATGAACAAATTTATCTGGCGAGAAGAAATCTTTTAGACGTTTAAACGCTATAATTGATCTCTTCAAATAAAAACCATGTCAAAAAACAATATAATATCTTCGGGGTTAACGCAGTCGTGTCTTTTACATTTATTGATTTACAAACGATTTTATTTCGAGATAAAATTAGGTTGAATCTAATGATCTGACAATTAAAACAAAAACATTTACCATACCTTAACTTCCTCTATTAAATCTGATCCATTTAATATATATAAAATAATTATCATTTCCAGCTTAGTACGCAAAATTGTAAAATCTTACGCTACCTAATTTAAATAATTCGATGAACCATGTTACTGTTTACATGCACATATGCAAAATGCTACACAAAATGATTTTAAAAACCAGTGTAATGATTTACTTCGCAAAAAAAAGTATGTCTCGGGTATCGGAAAGTGTAACACAACATTAAAAGTAAACCTGATCTCTCTTTTTAATACCTCGATTACCGAAAAATCACAAAATTGTCAGGTTGGTCTATCTTCTTTGTTGTATATGAATAGTTTTGTAAGTTCAATAGCACAAGTTTAAGCATAAATAGATGGTTTTAAATTCTTTCAAGAAGTGTAAAATATATCAAGTTTTTAATTATGTTTCATTCAATACATAAGAAGCTATTGAATTTATTTCACTAATAACATCTCTTGTATAATACAATCAAGTACATAACAAAGCGTTACATAAAATAGAAGTGGAATTTTTTTATGTTATAGTTTGCATAAGACTTTAGTTTTTCGATTTATACAGATTGTTACAACATACAATTGTTAAGATGAAATAAGATCCCTCAAATTCAATAGATCTTTGATAAACAACATGTATTATTGCATTATTAGTTGGTTGCATATTAACTAAGATCACAATATTATCTTTCTTTAATTCATACAAGACAAGAAAATTTTAAAATAACTAACGTTTTCTAGTAAAAAACTAAATGCAAACTTTATTGCCCAAAAAATTGTTTTATTTCAAATGTAAATATTGACCCAACAATTAACATAATTTTATAAGAAATTTTAGAATTCTGTCTCCACCCCCCCCCCCCCCCCTTTTCTTTAGCAATTGGTTTCTTTAATAAATTATTAAGTGGTTTGAATGTTATAAATTTTGCAGAATGAAAAGAAAATAAGTTACAATCAGGTAAAATAAAACTAATATTTTGATATTTATTTTATAAGTCTGTATGAACTGTTTGTCAACTCCTTGATTTCAGGATTTTAACCTTCTGGTCTGTTTAGACAATTAACACATTGTATTATTAGAACACTGTCCTCTAATACATGGGTTGCGAAAGTTAAATGGTCAATATTATTGACTGGTATTAAACCAGTAATATACAATACAGAAAAATCCATACATTTAAGGCAAGCGCAGTACTCAGGTTGTCTGCCATTTAAACCTGGGATCATGGGTTCAAGCCCTGCTCTGCCTTCTGACTTATGTTAGTCATACCACATCACTACTGTTAAAGCTGTATGCAATTACTGATAATTACTCGTACTTCAGTGATTTCTGATATACCAATAACATTTTTTGTTTCTATATGTTTCTTGTTGTTTATCTATTTAGCTTGATTAATTTATGATAACAAGTTTGTTGTAAATAAAATTTTATGCAAAGATTGACGCTTTGGTCAAAGTAGTCATCTATCATCGCAATTATTCAGACTTAGATTATTCAAACCCATGAAATATTTGAAGTAAAATTGTAGTCTTTGGCATGGCGGAGACGGTTTAATAAATGATTTTATTTTCTTGGTGGGTAACAAGTCACATCATCACTGTACAGTTTATATGGCAGTCTTTCAGCATCACTTGTTGAGGAAAATATCAGTTGTTGCTCTCTGTAGATGTAGATAAAACTGGATAACTTCCTCACATGAATGAATTGTAAATCCCTGTCAGGATTGGAACCCACAGAGTTCAGGTGGGAGTAATCTAAAGTAAGCAACCTAAACATATAGTCCAACCTTTAAATAAACAAGTTAATAATAAATTGTCACTAAATTGGCATGATTTCAATTTCACAGCTTTTTTAGTTATTCTCAGTCTTTAAAAATATCTATCATCATGTAAAATTGATGTATTTCGATGTGATAAGATCTTTTTTCAAAAAGAGTTTTTCCAAAGCAAAATTGATATACCATGGATATTTGTTTGTCAGCATGGAATCCTGCATTTCGGCATGCACTTCAAAAAATATTTTCAACAAAAATCTGTATCCTTAGGAGATTTATATGGCAGTCAAGCATTCAAGTGAGATAGATCAGATCAATTGTCGGTAAATAAAAGTAAAGTGAAACTTAGTTTATAAATGTTTTAGATATAAAGGATAAGGGAACATTATATTGGCAATGCTTTCATTGACAAAGAAATAGATGAATAAGTCCATGCACATAATTATTGTGTTTGATGTTTTAGAATACACCATTTTTCCTTAAAGTTGGAAATTTTGCTCCTACTTAATTTTACTATAGGTAGTGGTATGACATTGCTGAGAAATGACACCAACATTCTGTAAGTCATTTTGTTTGTTCTCATAATAGAATTCAATTATCACAATGACCTTTAACCCAGTTTTCAGCAAGGAAAAAATAATAAAGTTTGAATTTTAGAGCCAATATACCAAACTGAGACAAGCTTTTATCAAATGAATTAGTAAAAAAATATATTCAAACAAAGATTCAGCATATCTGAATAAATCAAAGTTTTAAACAATTATCACCTGGAAATATCCATGGAGATATTTTTTTTTTTGGTAGCACATAAGTCACCAATCTTACTATATCTGTCAACTTTTTTACCAGGGGAAGCAACTATGCATAGTCAAATATGAAGTATTCATAATCTGCTTTGATTACCTCCCCTGACTGAACAAGTCCGAGGACATTATCAAACACCACTAGGTACACATGTCTTAATTAAAAAACTGCACTTAAAAGCATGAAGACAAACAATGAGCATCTGGCAAGTACATGTCAGCGCAGATTCCCTTTAAGTGTACTTAATGAAGACTTGAACTTTATTACATCAAAAAAGACATTGAATATCATAGGCTTCATTTTCCTGATGGCAAGAATGCCTCATGAAAATGTCTAATTATTACATGTATCATTTCTGTTTTGTAAAATGACCTGCCATCCATTTTACCGGCTTACCATATCTAATTTACTTATTTACTATATTTCAAAGGAAAGGAATATTTTTTCTTAGTAACATTAATAAAGAAATCAAAGAATTGGACTCCTATGAACTTTTATGAACCTCCCTGTTGTTTTTTCACATATACCCACATTTATTAGCCATTACGGTTAAATAATTTCTGCTCTGTTAAGACTCTATAGATTTCTTGTAACCAATTACCATTCTACCACAATCATGGGCTTCCGTAATTGGTTCAGTACATCGATTTTCTGTATTACTTTGTTTATAACTTGATTAAAATCACCTTTTATCAGAGACGAAACAGGGTGAAAAATATATATAAGTGTGAAAGGGCAGATAAAAATGTCTGAATCTGTTATAGCAAGGTGAATTTGTCATCGATGAAAGATTATGTAAAATACCAAGACAGTTCCAAATAACTTCTGTAGTAATTCAATAAAGATAAGAAGTAAGTTACAGAAGAATTACTAGTAATTATTGTAAAAATTCAGAATAATGAATTCTACAGTTGTCATGACAGCAAAAATAAGACATCTACCCATGTTTAATTGACTGATAAAGCATGAACACTCATAATGTTTTACACTGGCTGATTAGGCACAGCAAGAAACAAAATCCAATGCTGTTCTGCTACAATAAACTTATTGTGGACTTATGTAAAAAAAAAAAAAAAAAAAAACTGAGAATTTCTCAAAGACTGACTTTCCTATTCAAATAATATTATGAATAAGTAAGTAAAATTAAAATTATGCAAGTATAAGAATTCTTTAAACATTATGAGAAATACCTGAAAGAACAAACAGCAGGTTTATATACCCACCTCTGTTACTACATAACACGTCTTTTACAACAATGTACCAGAAATAGACAATTTTACCCATAATGCCATTTTGTTTTGTTTTTTTCCGTCTGAGCAATTTACCTAAAATAATCCCACCGCTCTCATTAAGCCAAATCCTCCTCACTTTAATATGTCCAGTGTAATAAAATAAAGCAAACTTCTATCCGATTTCTAGACGTTTTTTTCCTTGTCATTAAAGACCTGAACATCATGTTAACATATAAAATGAATTACTAGAGACATTATATCAACCTTTGATGTTACATTTTATACCTGATCTTTAATTACAAGATTTTCTTAGAGTTACATCGAGTACAGTTCAAGTTACTGAAATGCGAGTACTTGGATTACTAATTTGGTTGGGTACTAAAATTACCACATAGTAATTTAAAGTCATGTGTCAACAAACAGTTACCTACATAACAAGAGTATTGTTGTTCTTCAGTACCGTTATATTTTTTCTGACAAAAATTCACCAGATGATTTTTGTTACACTGCAAGCCTCCCCACAGCCAGCCACAATGGGAGAAATACAAAATGTTGGTCATGAAAAAGTATAGCGAAATATTCAAATTCAAACATTTTGCATAAAATCATAAGTGAAAAATGATAATCCATCAATTAAGATAACAAACATGTGGACAATTAAAGCATCAAATCAAAGCACTGAATGTACTGATGGGGAGGCTATGAGAGAATGTTTCAGACTTATAGTTTCTTTTCTTCTTGCTTAAAATATGCTACCAAAATAAAAAGATATGCACATTGCGCTATTTATCCTTACTGTTGTGTTCAACCATTCATATATATGGTTAATGTGGTTGACTATTCATTTTGTTAATATTCCAGAACATTTCATTGAGGTCTACATTCGGACTGTTAATCATGCAAATTTTGAAAAACCTAAACTGTCAATAATAAATGACATACCAGCAAGTATGACGACTGTTCATTATCAGATAACAATAACATTTTACAACTGACGGTTCCTTATCAAAATATTCTAGGACTGTTCATCATAAATACTTTATGTCATTTTAATATTATTGAATGATAATAACAACTGCAAGTGATGCAACATTTTTATTGAACATAAAAATTATACACGTTTAGATGTACCATAATTGAGATCAATAAGATACTGTCTTGTGATGAGTATTAATATTCATGCTCTACGGACAGAAGGTTGTCTTCTCCAGAAGCAAATCTCGAAAAAAATCACGTTTCAGAAAATTATTCCCATTTCATTACTGACGGCGTCGGATAATATTAAAGCTAAATATTTCTTGAAAAAATACATATCTGCAAAGCTTATTCAAAACTG